GCTCTGGCTTCTGATTGGTCAATAAAGCCTGTTCTGTTGTACCAGTCTTTTACCTATTAGGGCTCGGGTATTCTACAACATATTATCATAATGTCAGCGCCATTAGAGTGGCTGACCTTGAGTGTTAAGTGAAGTAATCAGTGTAGCAATTAAATATTTCTGGTTTTAAGATTAAGTAGAAAATTCTAAAGAACGCAGTAAGACAAAGCAGTCTGGTATAAAAGTCGAGGTAGTCAATGAAACACGTGAAACCTGACCATGACAAGTCATATTTAATGTGACCAATGATTCGATTGTGTATTACGTAGTAGTGATTTGTGGGTTGTTGTGTTATTTTCAATGTCTGCGAAGCTGAAGGAACCGGGTCGTTTGTTACCAGACATGACTGAGGTGTATGTGTCTGAAGGTAATTTTAACGATCCTAATCGTGTGATAAAACGTTTAAATTAGCATCTGCCATGGAGCGTGTTTTCGATAGTTTTATCAAGGATTGTGGACTTAGTGATTTATCACAAATGAACACATTACTGGAGAAAATTAACCTACTTTCGCAGCGTATGGCCAAGCTAGGGACCTGTGAAATAGCGCCACATAGGTAAAATTAGTTGTTTTATCACCCAAGTTAAGTCTCCAGCGGAGGTGCTCATCCGTTCGAAATGACAAGGAAGTGTTGAAACGTAGGAACATTGATCTGGCTGCCATGGATAGAGAGATGGAGGCTCTGTCCTGTGGGATTCACTCCCATTCTGAGGATCTAAAAAGGTGATCTCAGACCTTCACTATTATTTTTCATTTACATATCTGGGATTCGTTTATTTGAGTTTTGTAGTTTGGTGCTTCACTGTACGCAATCCCGGTCTTGGTTTGCTTTTAGCTTAGCTATAACATCAATGTTCTCTTATTAGCAAGAATTTCATAAGTACACTCCCTCAGAAACGAGAACTTGGTAACAGTGGCTACCGTTAACTTTGTTCTTTTCCTTTAATTGTTCCCATCACGATTGTGACTTTAGCTATCTTTAGATTTGTAAGATTTTTCTCGCTGCGAATTTCTCTAAGTGTTTTTAGTATTTAGCGACATGTCTCCATTGCCACTGATTGTATTATATTTGTCGTTTGTTGTTGTTGTTTTCCACTAAAGTGGATTTTTGTCTTACAGTTAAATGATTCTTCCACACAAACCAATTGGTTTCCCATATCCATTTTACCAAATGCCATATTATTTTTGGTTATTTTAAGGATTTCAAAATTTCCACAGCTTTGTAAAGAAGTGAAAAGCGTTGACATAAGTATTCTTTCGGATGCAGCAAAGAGCTTTGACTCTGTTTCGTCAGTATGCTATCATTTTTATGCTAACTTTCTTCTATTAGTCGTCCGGAGCGTGCTCCTCTCCACTACCTGAATACTACGACCCCGTGGAAGTTGAGAAAGTCCGGTCAGAAACGGCACTTTTACGTACAAAACTTGCAGACTTAGAAGAGCGGCTGAGCCGATTCGGAGGCCTTGATACAGTATAGTGGCAATCTGATTTTGTATCACCCTCCTTCTTAGGACTTGGAAGTTGCATCTAATAAAGTGAAGGAAATGGAGACTCAACTGGCGAAGATGCACGAGAAAATCGACCCGGCTCGTGGTTTTTCGGGGTGGAATTAAGTCGCATTTATATACTGTATCAAATATTCCATGTGAGCATTTTCTCTTTGTCAACGTATTTTCCGTTCAAATGGATTTTGGCACTAGCGAAACCGATGCTTAGACTGACTTATCCATATAAATTTGGTGTCGTAGTATGTCATGTTTGGACCGCCAAAATTCTTGATCACTTTGTTTGGTTCACATAGATTCAGGCTCCTAGTAGCGATTCCTTGCCGGGTGTGCTGACCCCTCTTCGTTGCGGGAAGGGCCGAATTCCCTCCGAATCTCGGTGCTGCAGACTCACTACCAAGTTACTTGGCAGTTCTCTAATAGGGCTAATCCATCCCCTTTGTTAATTATGTCAACGGGTTTGATTCACTTGGCGAATTCCAGTGTAGTGCAAACTAAATTTATGACTAGGACGCGCAGCAAACCAACAACTTCGCTAAATTGACACATCTTTTTAGTATATAATAAGTTTGCCCCCACCGAATCAGCATCAAGCATCATGGTTTTGGGTAAGTTGCATCTACAAACTCCCTATATTAAATGTTTCCACTGAAGTAAGTAATGAATTTTCCTGATTCAGATTATGGATCTAATGAAAACGCACATATCGGGCCAAGTTATGATGATAGGCTGTCGTAAAGCATCTAGGCTCCCATGTCGTTGGTCCTGACCACCTCCGTTTTCAGGAATAGTCGGTTCATCAGGTAATGACTGAAGTAGACCCCATGTTGGTGAATTGTAGCTATTAAACGTTTTAAAACTGAGTAAAACTCCCGTATGATCCATTTCAAAAAAAATCTGTCCAGATTTATGTGCGCTGGAGTCTGTTAAGATGTTAAATCGATGGATAAGAAACTCAGCACATCGTGTTGATTCGCGTGTCAGCGCCTTTACCTAGAAAACACCCTCATTTTCCCCATCAATTCCGACAATCAACCACATAACATGACCGATACCGATAAAATGAAGTTGGATGTCGAAATTGCATGAAGGACTACTGTATTTGTCAGTAAGTAAGCTGAGTTGGGAAGTAATCATCAAGACACAGCCATTGACGGTGATTCGGAGTCCTCCTCGGTCGAAAGTACGGCAAAATTTGATTTGAGTCCATCCTCCGACAGTAATGGAAGGGATCTTAACTACAAGTAATTCAAACACAAGTTATGCAAATGCGGAACTCACCGCAGCCTGTGGCGTGTGTATCACTAGATGTCGAGATTTCAAAAGGTGTTGATGATTTTGAGAGGACGGGACGTCTGATAACAACCCAGGTATTATTGACACAGAAATACCCAACACGTCACAAATTCGGTATCTGTTGGAGATTCTTCCTTTAAATTGTAAACTCACAAGCGATATATCCTCTTAAGTCCACCAAGTCTTAAAAGTGTGGATTTTTCATTTGCCGAACCTTGCTAAAATATGGTGACTAAACCGATCACTAGTCAAAGTGAGACTTGAGACCAGATTACGCATCTGCTCATTTCCACAGACCCTAAACAAGGCAAAGCACGCATTTTCGCGAATGCGAATGGGCGAACATCGCGATATTCCAAGACATACGTGTTTAAGATACTCCTGTGTGTCAAGGTGAACCTGATGACGGATCTTGTCATCATCTGTTTTGCCAGCGGTGCCTGCATTCTGTCCACCCCCAACAGCACGGGCAACACGCAGTCGACGGAGACTGTCCTCGACCTTTTTCACAGAGGCAATTAACTCCGACGTTTGAGCATGATACCTGAAGCAGCCAAATTTAAGTGTTGCTGTAAATATTAAAAAAGATGGCTGTTAAACGATAGCTACTGTCAACGTGACTAGTGGCATCGTTTGACACTTCGGTGCCAAAATGGACTCTCAGCACGTTCTGAAAAGCGCTCCAAGTCAATGGAAACACGAATCACTCGGTTGTTTGGGTAAAATTTGAGGAAACATGCACACCTCACTCACTTTTTTCAATATCTATTGTCGGTAAAATTTTGTCGACACAAAGGCTGACTGACAGGAGAAGCCGCCTAGTTTCAACTCGATCTTCCATCAACTGTCGGGTCTCCGATGCATTTATGATTAATAAATATTGAGATTGTGTGAACGGAAATTCAGTAATAAACTTACATTTTTGTTCCCTGAAGTATCAAATCTTCAAACAAAGAAGACACCTGATCGCGGAGTGCAGGTGAAGCATCGACGTGAAATTTCGTCAGGATGTTGCATTCTATGGTCTGTGCAAGACTAGTCAGCTGATTTAAAATCTTCGGCATAAAAAGTGACGGTTTCGAGGGCCAATCGCGATTCGTCCGGCGATACTGCCGCGGCAAATCCTGAACTTGCCTGGTCAGTGTCTGCATTGAGTCCTAGTGGCAAGGGGAATTGTTTAGAAACCACATGTACACTCGTGTACGAAGTCTAGACGATAAGGAGGTAGGCGATTACCTGGAACGTGCTGCAAATGCACGACCTAATTGAGACCAACGAAGATTTAACACGCTCTGTTGAATCTTCAACACATTGTGCTAACCAGTCTGGCATTTCGTCAGTTTTTGGAAGTTGCATGGTTGGGAAGACAAGATCCGTCAAATTTCCGTCTTCAAGCCATTTCAGGAAGAGGCTTCCGTCAAAGAAGACAAGAAGCAACGGTTCTATGCTGACGACCCTAGCCTATGATAAATCGAAGTAAATCTCAATTGCCCGAAAATGGAGGTATTTAACCTGCAACTGAGGGATGCTCATTTAATTGAGAGGCGCGCTATGCAGAGCGCATATCTTGACATTCGGAATCACGCGCAGCATATAAGATTTATTGCATACGAATGCTACCACCGTAATTGCGACTTTTTACTTGCACAAACACGCCCGATTAACCAACAAATGGGTAAAATCTATCGATGTGTTTACCAGTACAGTGAACGTTAAAAGTGTAATTAACATGATTACATACTTTTTGATTGAAAATACACTTCTCACTGAGCAAAGAAAAATTGGGTTCTAACAGTTTCTTGGATTCGCGAGAGTTGTCTAGGGACTGGAGAAATGCGGGAATAACACTCAGGTACGTTTAAAGGACAATGCCATGTTTCAGTAGCAAGTGTAAACGTAATTTATTTGGGATATGGCATCGAATTACACCAGCACAACTAACATTCCCCCGTGACGAAAGCATTCGACAAAATTGGAACCAAAGTGCTTACATGCTCAGAAGACGAGCTACTTTGCCGCAAAGACTCTTCGCCAATGAGGTAGCTGTATACATTGATCAGCTGAAGAGTAAGTTTCCAGAACCGATGACGGAGGGAGTCCAAGTAGATGCCATCTGACCAGCACCACTTTATCTGATGCATTACAGTTGCGGTCAGGGCGAGCGCATATCCTAACGGTTAATAAAACTAGTGTCTGAATTGGCTATGCTATCTGAAAACTATCAACCACTTGGAATAAGAGATGAAATACATAACGGACCCAACTGGGTGGCACAATAGAATGGACGGATTGAATATGCTACATTTAAGAAACCGCGGGTGAAGCCCCACAATGAGGCGGAAAACGGGAAGTTTGAATTACCCGGCGACTCGGGCTCGGCCTCCTTGAGCACGTTCTTCGAGCAATCAGAAAGAATCTCGCTGCATGTTTGATAACTAAAAGAGCAAAGCAAATAATACTAACGTGAACCAGCAAACGCTGCAGCTGTGAAGTCTGACTTCTTAGAAACGTGGGCAGCTGGTGACAACTCATTATTATACAGGAGCCTACCGAAGTTGGAAGTAGACATTTAGACTCCATTTTGAGAGAAAAGATGAGTAGGCTGAGTGCTCCCGAAACTTGGTCACTTGCTTCCCGGAATCTGCTCGGGCTTCCAAAAGATCCAGAAAGTCGAGGCCAATTTTGTAGAGCTAAATATTCGACAAAAAAATAATTTAAAATTGCACAACAAAAAAAGCTATTCACTTTAGAATGGCGGTAAGTTGCATCACCACCGTGATGAGCAAGACATGGAAATGTGCTTTATCGATTCCAGTAGATCCATGGAATAGTCTTACCGTTCAGCAAGGCAACAAACAATGTTGAATAAATATATAACACTGTTGATCACTAATCAGTAAGTCCGAAGCACTACAAAGTTAAGTTCATCAAAATTGTAGGCGGGTTGAAGCTATGTCAATATCAAATGGAGTAAAATTTTCTCAAAGTTGCAAATACTACGTTACTAAACCATTACCATCATTTGTGGCTTGGATAAGATTGATACGAGTGGATGTTGCATATTGAGTGGTAGGTAATTCCCGCAATTTAGCGAGTATTCTTAGGTATTTTCAAATCAGTTTCCAAAATATTCCACAATCCACATGGCAAATTATTGATTATCTTCGTTTTACAACCTGTTGGACAAGTAAGTGGTTTAACACCGCTTCGAAATTCTGGCACAACACCATTTACCGATTAGTCTAATACACGCGACTGTATACCCTTGAATGAGTTTCGGTGAATACTAAATGCGGTTTGTCGCATCGGTCTCACAAACCATTTCTTGCCGCAGGCAGCAAAACAAAACATTTGGCAATGTAATTGGGGTATAAAAAGGGAAGTTATGCTAATTAAGGCTTATTAGTAGGTAGTGAAAAAAGCCAACCTGATAAAATCTATCGGGATTTCCGGCAGAAAAGACATCTGGAAGCTGGTCAAAAAGGACATCTACAGTTTCCGGAAAGAAACCATCCACAAGAACATCAAATTCACTTAGTGGTTCGTAACTGTATAAATAGGAAAAAATAAGTAAGCAAAGGACAATAATGTAGAAAAATGCAAACACAGTAGTCATTACCGCCTTCGGTATATGCCAATAACAATATTTTTTCTGTCGCCTGAATTGCAATGTTGCTGAAAAACATGTGATTTGAGTACTTCTGGAAATGAAATAGATTAAAAAACTTTGGGCTGACAAATGGACGCGTTTTCAATGCCCAGATAATCCTCCTGCGACCCCTTCACTGTAGCTATAACGGGGTCTTGGAGGGCAAATTTTATACTTAAACTAGGTAATATTAGGAACTGCGTAGACGCGAAGGCAAGACTTGACCGCAAAAGTGCCTCTATTAACACTTTTGGTGCTGCAAACTATTGTCAGGACCACAGCACAAAACGTTCGTTTACAATGATCCACAGGTAGACTGAGGTACAATTTCATGACTTGAACAACTGACGTGCCTAAAAAACCTTTACAAAACTGGGGCGGTGCGGAATGTGTGCATCCGCGGAATACCTCTTGTGTAGCCGTTTGAAGACAAAAGTTTGGAAAAGGGAAAGTTCATTATCCAGCAGCGCAATGGCTTCAGTGAACATTCTTCGAAGGCTGGAGGCAGCAGAAGCGGGATCGACACCACTAGACGAGAGTTCCGGGCAAGGCGAAAAAATCTGCAATGGAAAACGGCGAGTCAGGCAAAATGAAAACATTTCATAGTACTTTTGTGTTTTAATTACCATAAAAAAATTTTTATTATCCTACTAACAAGATCGGCATTGAGACATCTTCTACACCTCACGGTGCATACCTTCGTGAGTTGCGGTCGAAGGACGTGTTTCCGGTAGAGCGCGACGGCGCTGCTGAGGTTGTCGATTGACAGGTAGGTGGAGAGCACTTGCCTCAACACTGAGGAGGCTTTTTTGGAAGACGCAGAGTCAAGTTGACCTGTGGACTGGGCTTCGTGACAGAGATAGAGACCACAAAGAAGACGACCTTCTAGCTGGTCCTGGAGACTTGCAGTTATTAACTGAATCCGCTACATTAGAAGGCATTGTACACTTAGTAGTTGTATGAATCAAAACTGTACATTTGCCAGCGCAGGGTTGAGGATCCGCGAGGCCGACGGCATGCTGTGAGAAGGGGGACATTGTGTCGGAGAGCGGAGCAACCGGATTAACGAGTGTGAATCAACGCGATCCACAATAGACCGTTGTGAAGATTGCCAGCCTCGCCCTCCCCCTCCCCCCAGCTAGACAACAAACTTTCACGTCCGGTGGTTTCAGGCAAAAGCACAGAGCTATCTATGGTTTGCACGAGTTGAGTCACGGCGATCTAAGTGATGGGTCTGCATTGTCTACCACATTTTGATAAAGCTAAGGTTCAAAGTGAAACCCAGTCAGCTGGAAATTCGGCGAGTAATCAAGTAAAATTTTAGTATCCCCGATGCGTTCGCGAATAAATCAAATGGGAAAACATCCCGAGACGAATAAACACTAAGTCTTCGTGGCCTTTTCAATTCACCGAGGAAGTGGCTACGACATTACAACAGCAAACAGAGGCAGTTGATTTGTGGGACTACTTGCACACAGTGCGAAAAGCACGGCTTGTCTGGTCACTAAATGATGAAAATAGTGTGTATTTTAAGACAAACGAATAGCATGAGAAAAGCAATACATGAAGCTGACGAAGGTGTGAAAAATTAAAAGCCACGCTGTATTTACATCCGGCTCCAAAACGTACGGGTTTTAGATCCTCCACGAAGGGATGATTGACGCACTTCTTCACAAAGTGAAGCAATTTAGTGTATTCTTGCGCCACACGATCGATTTGCTGTTCTTCCTGAAAACTGTGAAAAGGGGCAAGGCAAATTTGTGTACAGACCACTTCAACTATCAAAAAAATTACCAGACTAAACCAAGTAGCTAGGCAACAAATCTATCCAGTGCCTAGATAACGCCCCAAATAATTTGCTCGAGACTGAGATATCGATGTGTAGGAAGGTAACATAGAAACATTACTTACTAATTATAGTAATGAAAAAAGGTAATAGATACAGTACCATTTGGTTTCACGCACATGGCTATACTTCAGAGAGGTGGCAGAGTAGGACCCCCTAAAGATCATGACTAACACGGGAAAATGAAGGGTTGGAGTGAATTACACGTTATCGCCTGTGGAGGAAAGATGCGAATCCGCCTCGGATGGGGGTGGATGAGGCGCAGGTGATAGCCAGCGCTCCAGGCGGCTGGTGCACGCGGCCACCGTGATGAGACTGTGGATCATCACCTTGAGTACAAAAGGCATCCAAGAAAGTAAATTGGTTGATGTTGTTGTTGCTGTTGTTATTATTGCAAACTGACGCACGATAGCAGACTGGGGTGAATGAGTTAGTTTTCGAAATCAGCAGGTATGTAGCATAAGGGGTGTTTTAAATGCGAGAATACCCCTGAATTTGTGAAAAAAGGTGAGAATTATATTTTACATGAACAGAAAACACTGTGGTAAAGAAAAAAAACGATTTACGACAACCAGTTAGCTAAGCTATTGTTGGGAGTTGCAGTTGCGTACGTGAAAACAGAAAGGAAGCAGCACGTACCTTCTTTTTCCGTAGTTTCTTCCGTTCCTCCAGCTTGAACTCGAAGTCTCGTTTCGCTTCATGAATCTCAGAGAGGACCCCCTGTGAGCGGTAAAGGAGGTGCGTTAACGGGTAAATAATACAAACATGCCGTTCTTTCTCCACACAAAGATTTACAGAAAAAGGCGAGTCTTCGTTTTATAAAAAGTAATCGGCAACAATCAATTAGATTTATCGAATAACTTGAAATTGAGGGCGTCCATTGAGCTTCAATTGAAAAAGAACAAGTGGCTTTAAAAGGAAGTCCAGACTGACCTCTGAGCTCAGTGGCCAATTGCTTGAAAGAATACTAGAGAATTCAGGGATGTTTTGATTATTCGTGTACGGCGGTACAAAAATATGTCATGATCGCAACCCCAAAGGACGATTTGGGAAACACCAGATTCAAGGCCGAAAAGTGACAAGAAAGGGAGTGCATGTAGAAGCTTGGGGCAGTTGTATCAGGGCAACTGACCAACAGTGTTGGTGGTAGTCGCAGACTCACCGAAACGCGTTCTTTCATGTCAACTAGTGGATCCTCGAGACTCTTAATGATTTTGTTTAATCCGACGAGATTGGTGGAGAGATTGACAAAATCTGCATAGTCCTGGTTTATCAATTCAACGAGGCTGTTTTTCAAGATGTTGAAGTATTGCAAAAGACTGTCATGAAGAGTCTCGAGTGAAATCCCCATTTTGAGTCGATCGAGGATAAAGGCACGTTCGTCGAAAGCATCCTAGACAAAAACACCAACGCACTCAAATTGTCTCCAATACTGAGCACTGAGAACATCTCCAAGCCTCAGTTTATAATAATGGCTAAGAGGAAGATAGCGGTCTCCCGTTAGTTGCTCTGTTCAAAAAGTGTGAGTGATGCAATGTCTTCCAAACGGCTCGGTCTACTTACATACAAACGACCTTGACCCCCCCCCCCACACACACACACTCCAAGGTTGTTAAATTACCTGGAAGGCGACAATTAGTAACCCGACAATTGTATGCCCTAATTTACAATACAACTTAAAATTGTGATTGTTTAATCCAGGTGACCATATATGGTGGATTAACCGGAAGGCAAGAGTGCGGCATTGAAAATCGACGAAGCGGGTAGTTGCGAGAGATCAGATTAAATTCGCCACTCGGGCAACAGGCGCTGAAAAATCCGCCGAACTAACAAATAAAATGTACGTTAGTGGGTGACAAACATTTCGGTGACCGTGTGGGGAACATCGTAATATGCAAAACCTAACCACGCACTAAAGTAAATTTTTAGACATCGAAATTTATCTTCGACCAGTGAGCTTAACATACCCAATTTAAAGCACATGAGTATTTGTGACCCGTGCAAATTAACTCCTAAAAATAGGAACTAATTACCTTGTAAATATCACGCAAAAACCTTATCTACGGTGTTGGTACAGGTTGTTTCCACAAAAACAACACATTCATTCCTAATCGGTAGCAAACAGTATCAAGCAGTCCCCAAAATGATGAAATTTCACAGCTCCAGGACATGGCAGTTGTGCGACATTGCATTCGAACGGGTTAAGGTGGTAAACAGGATGGGTGTCGTGACCCATCACGGCGTGCAGACGAACGGCGACCACGACTACGCAGGATTATTCCTCATGAAAACATGACATCTAAAAGTACTTTTACCGAACAAGACTTGAGCCTCTACACCAGAAATGAGGAGGACGTAGTAAGCCCAATAACCGTAAATTCTAGCCATTTGCCTGTTATGATGATTGGGGGGGGGGGATTTGAGAGACAACGCTATGCGAGACAGTTTTGAGCTATTAACTGAATCAAACTACCCAACCCTTCCTCTCGACGACGCTGGAAACACAGAAATGAAGGCACTTATTTTGCTTACATTAAGAAATCCACGTCTATCGAAGCAGAATTCCAGCCCAGATGGAGCGATCCCCAACGTGGACTCTAATGCATCGTTAGAAAACTCCGCCTACAACAAACGAGACAAGTAGTTTTAGTGTCCCCAAGACCACAGAGACTGTCACTAGAATCACCATCAAGTGATTAATTAAAAAAAACATTTATTAATACAATATATGTAGACGAAATACATTTGGACATTTGACAATGTAGGGGATATTAGTAGTTATTACAACACATTCGTAAAATGTACAATACACCAGAATAAAAAGAGTAGATAGGGTATATACAAATGCCAAGGAGAGGGTTGCTGGGCTGGAGGGTGAGTATAATTAGCGTTTACGACGGCATTGCCGTTTGTGTTCTTTGTGCCAGTGAGCCTGTTGACAATTAATGGAGCAGTAAGAAGTATTCCAACAGCAGTGGTAAATAGCTTCTTTTTGGCAATTGCGACACCACTGACGTCGTTTTGTCTGCACAAGGGCGTCGTTGAAGCGTGCCTCGGCGGCGTCGAGGGCCTCTCGTGCCAGGTCGCGTTCGCGCTCCACGGCCGACGCCAAGGCCGCGGCGTGCTCGGCGGAGAGACGTGACTCGAGGTCCGACAGGGCACGCTGATGCTCAGTCGCCAGGCGGGAGACCGCCTCCTCGCTCTCCTTGCATCGGGGACACGACTGGTCCAGGAGCGCAGCCAACCCCGCGACGGTTGTCTGAAAGACAGATGTGACATGTGGGCGTGCTCTGTGTATGTTAAACTACCAGATTGTTTGTGGGGTGCGTGTGTCAAGGGAATGTTTGGACGACATACACAGTCATGATGAATATTCAACTACTTTGATAACCAACCTACTTAGACATTAAGTGCATAGTTATGTGGCCCACTAATAAACTGATACGGCCTACATTTTTCTGAACTACACTATGTGAAATAATGGTGACGGAACAGAGGTTTTATAGGCGCCTGGTCTTGGAAAGTCAAGAGCGTACTCAGATTTGGAGAATTACCGTTTCGCGGACATACCTGAACCTGTTTGTTGATCATTTTGCGTGGTAAAATTCCACAAGGATGTGTCGATGACAGAACTGGTGAATGAGGGGACGATTCTACCTTAATGTCTGAACCGGCAGCTACAGCGGCCGCCGCGAGTCGCTTATTAGGTGGTAAATGTGAACGAGGCACCGATCCCAGCCCACTACTGCGTCCGGCCATTTCCAGGGCTGTGAATCCCGACTTAGTGGGTTGATGAGGGAAAGAAGCAGTATTCGGGAGGGACGCCGGGCCTGCAGCAGTACCGCTGGTGAAGGCAGCTGAAGTGGCACCCTGACTAGACATAGCACCGGGCTGAGTGGTAGACGCCGCCGACGACTTTGAGATCGGCGGAGCGAAAGGTGGACGCCGGAGGAGGGTTTGACGACGGTCATCGGATGCGTCTGAGGAATTACCCGAGACGGAAGAGGGAGAACTGCTGCCACTGGATGATATGGGGCTCTTTACCTGGGTCCTTGGTTGCGGTGGCGCCTGCAACCGACGAGAGGGAAAAGTCGTGGAGCAGCGATCTGTCAACTCCGAATCAGAGTCCGAGGCACGTGAGGACTTAGTCTTCGTGGAAGACAAGGGTTTATGGTTGGTGCCACTGCGCGCTACCGAGGAAGGCGGTCGACCGCGGGGACGTCGTGGGGTGACACTCTGCAAGCAAAGAAGCAGAATTGTGAAAAACTTGACTGAATTCAGGCAGTTTTGAGAGGCAAGCAATGTGCAACCAGCGTTGATCATAAAATCCCGGTGTTGGTGAGTACCAAAATAACAATTAACATAAAGTGCAGGTAATCAGATCTTGTAAAATAGAGTATATTAAGTTCGGGATGCAAACGGAGGGATGGGATTAAAGCAATCGAGCAAAAAGTACATTCAAAAATATTCGTAGCCGATAGTAGCCACTTACTAGGCTTGTAATAGTACACACAACCGACCTCGGTGAAGCTATGCTCCCTGCGCATGATATCGAGCTCGTTACCTTGTAGGCATTACGTTTGCCACACCCCGAAGGGGGAAGTACCTTAACGGCTTCTGGCAAATGAGGGTTTAAAAAACCGCTATTTTGAAGCATAATGCAGTGATATTGCTTGCATTGTGATTATGAAAACTCAGATAATTAAAAAAAAGGTCTCCAGAGACTTGCGTACAGAGGAGGATTGAAGTCGGGAGATGCTATTATTATTCGTCATAAAAGTGCCCTTTGGAGAATTCTTCAGCGTGGTTTTGGATGTCACCTGACCTGCAAGGGGACACCAAAAACTAAATCGAAATGTATTTTGAAACTGTAACAGGCAAGCACTATAAATCTGGCTCGAAATTCAAGTGCGAAGATTCTGCTCAACTTTGAAATCGCTACCTCGGCTTCGGTCGAATTGTAATTTTAGATAAAACTGAGTACAACGTTTTGGACCGGCTATTCAAGAAAAGTAAATGGAAATGTAGAATAGTTAATCGCCTAACAGTCCCAGAAATGTCCACGTAAATCATTCACCATCGTTGCAAAGCAAGGTAGCACAGTTGCCGACCTCACAAGGCCAGTAGCAGGAGGTTGTTGATCCCGCAAGACGGTTAGTAAGTAAAGACAATGAAATTACTATAGCGAAACGATGAAATATCTTAAAACCCAGACTTTGGGGACACTATTTACATGTTCTTCCTGAAGAAGAATGAAACATAGTACTGATGTGGCTTACGAATATTATGACAGCAAACGCCTATTATGCAAACCGTCCTTTTCTCCATGCCACTTCGGCCATTCTTAAACGCCCTCATAAACTCGATTCGTTGAATCAGCTACTGAAAGTGACCAAGTTACGGAAAACATCCAGCAGCACCGCCATCGACACACACACACACACAAGCACCTCCATCGGAAAGCATTCTGGAGACCGCCAGAATTGGCCCCGTTCATTTGAACCTCTTTATTTCATCACATCATGAGACCGTCCGTTAAACTGTTGACAGATTTAACGGAGTAGCAGGACTGATTTATTATTAAAAATCTTGCTTCAAACGAATCGAAGCTGTGGATATTGTAAAGTGTACTCGCACGAAGTTAGACCCAGGCTATACTTTAGGCTGAGGTAAAGTGGAGGCCACGATAGACGACTCTGAAAGAAGTAGACAAGCTCACCGTTTGCTCGCTTGCTAGATGCGACTCCGCGTTTTTTGCCACGAGCAGACCACTTGGGCCCGGCCAACTACAAAAGGGACAAACGTGCTGATTAATGTGCTTTTAAATACGTAACTATGAAGAAATTACGACACATACCCTTGGCTACTTCAAGTGAACTTGTTCCTTCGGTCAAGCTAATGGAGTTTATTTGTCTACTCCAACTAGGAGGCGGTGTGCTTACAAAATAAATGGGGAGGTAACAGCGAATACTCTAATTGGATTCGATAGATTTTAAATATCAACGGAAGTGCATTACATGATTGAAATAACAAGCCAACGGTCCACCACTGTGGTTGAAAGAGTGTCAAAACTGCATCATAAGGCACAAAATACAACAAAGCTGCATTTAGTTCCCGCCAATTCAATGATGCCCTGAATTTTCGCCCCCTTTTCCAATGTTTGAACTATTCATGTTCGAAAAGATGTCCAGTAGCATCATGGGCAGGTGTGCCGCCAATCAATTCATGCAATAAAACAAGGTTTTCATTTGTATATTTTACCTACATTTAATTAATCGCCTACTTCATAATAAGTCGTGACAAAAATTTAGCGTTTTGTGCATCCACATACAGTCTCTGTTGACATGATGCCCATTTATTAAAAATCGTTGAATACCATTTTACAAAACAGCTAACTTGCAACATCTAAAGGTGTCACGTGAGTTGTCGGATGAACAATATCCTAGACGCTTGCACGACCCCTCATTTTTTTCCAGCGGGAAGTGTAACCTTCTTAATTTTGACAAGACCAGTAAGTTGAAAGTGAGGCTAAGAAAGTTTGAAACGGCCATAATTCACCTTTCCACCATCCGAATCTGATTCCGCCGAAAGGCTGGTAGTTGACGTTCCGGTCTTTTTCACATCCAATGTGTTTAGCGTTTGATAATTTTCCCCTCCCGACAGCGAATGGGTCAAGGAGGAGAGAGAGGCCGAGGAAGATTTCCGCCTTCGCTTTTTTGCACTCCCGCTGCCAGGTGGACGACCGCGGCCTCTCCGGTGCGGGTTCACTGAGGCCTCAGCGGAATCGGGGAATGTGCTCCCAAGGTCACGTTTCTTGTTAAAAGCAGCGGCAACGGCTGCTTTGGTCTCGGCCAACGCGGAGAGAGCCGCTGCAGCGACTGGAGAGGTTGTCTCGGCAGTGATACGCTGCTTTGAGGAGGATGTTGTCTTGCAGGTTGCTGATGTCTTAGAGGTTGAAGCCTTGCCGACCCTCTCGCGACGGCCCTGACCACGATGATTGACAGGGCGACGAGGGGTGCTGCTGCTGGAGCGGCTACTCGACCGTCGTGAGGGAGAAGAGGTAGAGGAATGGGAGGAGGGTTGGGAGCTTTCATGACTTGAGGTAGAAGTTCGCCGTCTAAAAGAACAAATTTGATGTCACCCATACTTCACCGTGTTCATATACTTCAAACAGTCAGTTGTTTGCATCGCTGGTAAGACAAATAATCAGCAGAATATGACAACTCTCCCGCAACAGGGCAATCGATTCACACACACACACACCCCGTTGTTTGTACATATAGAATAATTTCGACCGATCTCCGATTCATGTAAAAGGGAATGAATTAGATAAGCACCGAAACACATAAAAAGTTGAGGTGTAACACAACATGGACTACAGCTCGGACTAGATTATGATGAAGTGAGTGAACGGTAAGTGAACGACCGCAACGACTGAGCATAAAGACGTAAGTCAAAAGTGTTTTTCGTTATGCGAAACCTACTGCAAAGGTTAATATTCAATTGCAAGCATATTACACCAGGTTATCAAAAATGCGAAATCTCTAAGCGGCATGCCTTTACCATTCCCTTGGACCCGTGGTATGTCGTTTTTTTCGTCTATTTAGAGCATTCAAAGTACTTGCCTTTGAAAAACAATCTATTTAGTTTATAACTTGTGCGTTGATGGTGTGGATAGTATTTTTCGAAGTAATTTTGTACCATGGTTTTACCACACGCGCACATACGCAATCCGTGCGCATCCTGCTGACGCACTAATTGGGCTTGTATTGAGCAGCTAATGGACTGCGTGGTTTGACGTTATGCGACTGGGACACGGGCAACTTTGCCTCTGCCTGGGTGCGGAATTCGTTGCAGGGCGTTGGAATGAATCATGCTGAACTGGGTGGGCAGACAGCGACAGTGTGTGGCTTGGTGGAACGTGCGCACGCGGCTCGGACAGCGTGCCACGACGGCCACGCAAAGGAACCGGACTGATGCGGCGTTCGCAACCGCTCGCGCAACCCAGCAACGAAACAGTTTCTGATGCACAACGATGAGGGCGATAGCCTGTGTGCATACAATTTCATGTAGGGTGTTGCTTCGCCGAAACTTGTGCCGTACCGACACAAACCACAGGAAAACCATGTTGGATTGGAAAAGGGTCAAGTTAGAAACGTTAGCACAAGAACAAGGGTAACGTTGAGTGTAAATGCCTGTCAAATTTACGAAGTTCACCGGTTATACGCTATGCATCATGGAAGGAGAGAGAGGCTTGAGTTTAATACGAAATTTTAAGCAGTTGCCTTGGATGCGAAAATATCGCATATCGGATTCAAACACAAAACAACCCAAATCACTTATTACAAGTTGCTAATTCCCATAACCCAGAACTGAATTATTGTGCTCTAGACAAAACATGCACGAAAATAAATATGGAAGCTCGCAGATCACAGAGAAAAACCAGAAAGCTTGGTATCGATGTCTATCATCATGAAGCGCGGTTTGTTATCGCTAATTTATGGTAGTTTTATTCCTTAGCCCTAGAGAATGATGTGAACACGTTTTCATTCTTGGGGAACGAAAACTTATTTAAAAGCCTGTGCCAAGTGATGCGATTTGGTGTTTATTAAAGCGCGAAGTTGGTGAAATCATTTTCTTTTTAAGAGAGTGCAGAGGGCTCAAAAGAGTTCACACAAAATTATTTTACTCTGTCTACCAAAGAACTGGATAAATACAATTGAGTGAATTTCAGGGTTTATTTTTTATGTAAGAAGTCCAAAGGGGTTGCGGACGCAGCTGGAAAACGCTCGTGGTAAATGGGACGCTGCATTTATCCTTGAGGTAGATGTGCAGCGCCCACGCGGACGCAAAGAATGCAGCGCCTTTGACCCGTCACGAGAAGGCGACCGACCACTAGTAAGAGCGTTTACCTTCTTGGTACGCGAATGCTGGTTTAAATAGCACTTTAAGGAATTCTGTATGACAGCAAAAATAACCTAGACCAAATGACTGCGCCGCCATGCAAAAAACCTCGGCACTTGACATGCAGGTCAAACGGTGTTCTTGACGTTCCAAAACACCCATAATCAGATAAAATGCCCGATGCATGGAATTAGTACGGCTGGATTCATTTGAAAAACTTCACGCCTGACACGCAGGTAGTAACAGTGCTAAAAGAACGTAACTTTACGTGGAATATGAAAGATTTCTAACTGAAATTCCTACTTAATTTGCACATCACATAGCAATAGATTATTGCACAAACTTTACGTACGTTCGTTTCTTGCTGGACTTTACTTTGGCGGAATTTGCCGTGGCTGAAGATCGGGGACTGTTGGAACGTGAAACCCCTGAGCGACGACGAAGCCGGAGGTAAAGCTCGTCGGAATACTCCTCATCCGATGGAGGCATGTCAGACTCTCCTGAAGAGTGAGAATAGTAACCCGAATTGAGGTTGGCTTGAAGCTTTCGCACCTCGTTCCAGGCTCGTTCAATTAGCGAGGCGGGAACGTTGTGGGTGCCGGCCAAGGCCTGCCGGTGGAACGTTGGATCCTTTTCGGGAAGCACAAATGGGGCAGTGTGCATCTTTTTCACAAACGCCCTTTCGTGAGTACCACCAAAAAATCGAATCTACGGTAGATCCAACAAAACAGGTATTATATGGAAATTTAAGACTGACGACGAGCGAACTACCGTCAGCACCACTGTTTTGGATAAGACAACTGGAAGTTCTCCATATTTTACACACGACATGTTGGTACTTTGGTTTAGGGAGAAAATTTAGAGAAATTTCTCACAAAAGATGGCAACTGCTGGGGTATAATGAAATCGCTATTAGTAAAAGGAAAATTAATTCTTCAGCATCTGGCCCTGTTGAGCTCATCTGGCTGGACACTCGGAGACCCAATACTAGGTAGAACAATTAATTGACTAGACAAGTAGGCGTTTAAAAGCTAGTAGTGTTGGTGTGAGAGGTATAAATAAAATGACAACTTGACACGTAATGCTGGGGTGACGCAGGATGCGAAGCAATATTTTATGCAACAAGTCAGTTGAATAATTTAAAGTCCGGAGCTACTATTAACATTCTTGCCTAGTAATATTGAACATTCACAACAAAAGGACTATTTACCTAATCTATGCCTTGATTAAGCTCTAGTGCACATCGTAAGGGACTGGTGCAAAATACATAGTTTAACACAACAAGTACCAAGTACTCAAGATTGTAAACTGCTATCACTGCCCAAATTTAACCGACCACGACAATACATGCATCCAGTGTGGGCTAAATCCAAACAATTTTAAAGAGCTTAAGGGTGACATAACAGAATATTGACGAAGTCAGACAAATTTGCAGTTTCAAGGGAAGAAGTGAGGCGCCAAATCAAACTCTCGCAATACATATAGCCAGATTTCAAAGCTCAGCTTCTGTTGATCATAAGGCAGCTTCACTTGAGAGCTATGTAATCAGTTTTACAAACTAAATTATACTTGGTTAGAAACCTATTGCTCGGCCGGTTAGGAATTCAGACCACACAACATGTACATTCATTCACACATTCAATTAGCATAAAAGTGCCAATTTTGCACCTAGTAGCCAAGAAATGGGAGTGTGTTTGCGAGCATATGAGGTATAACTTTAAAAGTATTAAGTATTTACGAGAAGAATATTTATTTAATCATGACAATAGCTGGATTCAAATCTCAATATTTCGTAAGTTATTAAAGTGAAATATTGGTGTTAAAACTGAGAAGTAAAACAGTAATTGTATCCAATGAGAAACCTTACCTGATCAATTGATTACGATTACTCATGAGCTAGTAAATCTACGACTTGGCATTAAATATTAATTCGGAAAAACGTATACTGCGTGCCTGTCCATTTGAATAAAGGAAAGAAATGCCCCAGGAAAAGAAGTCCTAGAAGCAGTAACTATGACGACAGCCTCATAAGTTTATTGGCAGCGGACGACACAAGCAAGAGTGTCCCTAAAACTGTACTGGATCCAAAAGGACACTAATAGCAAAGTTGGACACGAAAACTTCCTTTGAGACATTATGCAACTATTACCAATCAAGTATGCGGCCATAAAGCAATGATCCATTATAAACATATTTTAGGCGGACTTAAGCGTACGAATCTACCAGAAATTACCTCATATCCATCATCCCGTTCAAGCAGAACTTTAGCGGGCCAGTAGCAGTGCTGGATACTCGCATTATCAAACAGACCAGCACCCGCCGAAGAGCGATTACATGCGCATATAAATTCATGGGGAGGTTTACATGGTTTGGTAATCCAGTCACCAACACGTGCTTTTGCATTAATATAGCAGTCGGTACAAAGCTGGATTTCAGAAATTTCATTATTGACGGAACGGAGTAGAAAACGGGCTTCATCTGCATCATTGCTAAACGATCCAGACAAGAGACAAACGTCATGAACGAGGAGCTCGACATCCATAGCGAAGAATTCCAAGGCAGTATAACGACCGTCCTTTATTTTTCGCTGAAGTAAGTCCAAATCAACATATTTATATACAATGTACTCGTTTTTATCGATACTGCCTGGGTAACCAATTTGACAGAAATGTTTCCAGAGGGGCTGCTTGCGTAAATTGTGGGTGGCAAATTCCAGCAACTTCCGTATCTGCTTCCGAGAGAATTCGCATTTTGGCCTTGATTCACAAACTGGGCACGTAAAGTCACTTGACTCATCATCAATTGTACCAGGGGAACGCATGCTCCTCGTGTGAGGACTCGGGCGCTGATACTCAATTACACACTCCGAGTGATAGGCACGAAAGCAATCACCACAGTGCAGCATTTCACCCGGTTTGTGACACCGAAAGCAGTACCAATCATGTTTTTGACGCTGACACTGATTATGAAAATCCGGCAAACGGTACCCATCACTAGCCTTTCCAGAAGAACTGTTTGTTCTCATTATGAGTCCGTCACCTTCAATTTCAGTTAACAGAAGCCGAATGCTATCATCTTTCATGTTGAGAGATTTTCTCAGCGGTTTAAT